ATTTCGACGAGGCCATCGAACTACTCTTTTATTCCCCCAATCGCTGATGATGAAACTATCGCTCTCTTTGTCGATAATCACATCTGCTGGGTAGTTTAACTGATGAGCTCCATTCCCTTCTCCTTTTCCACCAGCAACTACTTTTCCATTCGTTGCACCAGATTTCCATTCCACGATACGATGATTCAAACGATCAGCTACATAAATCGTTTGATCATCGTCGACGTACAAACCCCATGGAGAGGTGAGTTGATTGGTTTCACTGCCCCATCCATTTCCTCCAACTACAGTGATACCATTCTGTGACCATTTTGCATTCAGATGAATATCAATGGAACTTGCACGCATTGGTACTAAAATGAAAACAAAAGTATGAAGTAGAAATAAACATCAATGTCATTGAAATGAGTCATTCTCATTTGTTTTAAACAATATTGAACTGCTCTAAATTACAAAAGTTTTTTACTTATGAACTTGATTAGAATCTGGTTTTTCTCAATGTTGAAAACAAAACATGGTTGATTTTTCTGAAATATTTTGTGTAAGAATCCTTAGTTTGACTAAAACTAACTAAAATTTAACTGGTAACGTGAAAAATTGTGACGAACTCGGATTTTATCATGAATGAAATTTTCTTTTCTATCGAATTTTTTCAACATATTCACTGATTTCGTTAGTTCGATTTTGAAATATATTTAAAAATTATTTGATTTTTTATTGTTTGGATTTTACAATAAAATGAGTTATAATAGAATTTGAACGTAAGGAAAAACAATTTTGTTATCAGTTGATAGGAAACGGTGTATGATTTATGTTCGTCACACATTTCTGAGTGAAATAAGACAAAATAAATTTGCAACTTTTATATGAATTCGTTAAAAACATTTTGCTAGATAATAACGATAGTTAATTATACTTAACTATCATGCATAAGACGTTTTTGATTGATTCATATAAAAAAATTACAAATTTTTTGTGTAAGTATTTTTCTTTCTTATTTCATTTACGAATGTGTGACAAATATAAATCATACACCATTCGAAAGTATTTTATGCCATGAATTTTGCATCATACTTATTATTGAGTAATTTATTACTGAATCTCAAACAAACAAGTAGTTTGTAGAAAGGCTAATCGAAGTGCTAAATAAGATAAGTTTAGATAAAAAAATACGTAAGTTCAAATTTTAGTACATGAAAAGAACTCAAAAACAAATCTCTCCCAAGTTCAAGAATATTTGAAGAATCTGCCATGTTCATTACTCTACATTATAGCACAAACAATAATCTATATACGAATCAATCAAATCTTTTATTTTGAATTCATTTCTAATGTATTACAAATTTTCAACTTAATAGGGTGTCGGTGTATGGAACATGGTTTTGTGGAACTCACGTATGTTTTCGAAGAAAATAGTGAGTGTAAGTTTTAAGTTCGAGGTTGGCGGCTCCCCCCCCCCCCCCCCCCCCCCCC